TATATATATACTCACCGATACACCAATAAACACATTGGTGGGCCGTGGGGTTACAGTGGTTTGCCCTTCAGCATGCTGTAGTTGCTAGGGATCAAACTTCTAACCCCCAATTGGAAGATGACTACCAAGTCTTTGGCCCAAACTCTCCCTGATATTTATGATGTAATGCCTTAGTCACATTTGTGRCAAAAATACTGGCTTATTATAGTTTCCCAGTTACTTAATTCGTGAATCTGTTGTATTATTAACTGCAGTATGAATTTAAAGTCTTTCCAAATGTTTGGCTTCGTGTTGTACCTTTGGATTATTAAAGTCTGTGCGGCTGTAAGGGTGACCTCTGTGTTGACGTCATTTCTCTGAAGTCTCCCCACGTCCTTAGACACAGATTCTTTCCCAGGTGGGCAGTGGTCAAATATTCGAATCTCCCTCTGTGTATATTAAACCCCAGCAATGTGTTTCCCTTATGAAACAATAGAAGGATAATTGTCTTTACTGGCGATTAGCTAAGAGGTTGGTTCAGTGCAATTGGCAGCCATATTTGTCATGCTCCGTCCAGCCTCAGACTGCATTCCTGTGTGTATTTGTGTACTTGTGTTTTTGTAGAACTCGAGGGGAGGGCAGGCAGGCACACTGCAAAGATCAATAGACTTCTATATAAGGGACATTACCCCCAACTGGGTGAATGGCTTGCCTTTGCCTAGCACCGTTGTTGTTTTTATTCCCCTACTCCTCTCTCTTGCATTTAAGAGAAACAGGAATGGGGCCTCTGGGACGATAGAATATATGTACAATCACCAGCCCTGGATCAATAGAAGGTTTTAAATTGTTTTGTTTTTTTTGTACCGTCTTTGTTTTGTTTTGGTCCTTTGCTGTCTGCCCCCCTCCCCACTAGCAGCACATGCCACCACAGCTCAGCATGACGACACCACCAACAACCTGACCCTCCCCACCCTCCTTGCAGTTCAAGTATTGGAGAGAGCATTAGTCAAGCAGGATGCAGGGCTATCTGGTGGTGCTTGTGTTTGAATCGATAAATTCAAAACAGTTTTATCGAATATAATATCAACATCCATAATGTTTTTAACCTCATGAAAATAGACTGGACACTGGGGTAAGAAAGATCATGTGCACTCAGTTGAGAAAACCTCAGCATATGTGCAAAATCCTCAGGCTAGTGTTTAATTTTACACAGCATTTAACAACATTAGATGCAGTTGTTCATTTCTTGTGTTATTCCTTTTTTGGATTTTTGATTTGAGTTTTGTAGATTTGACTTTACATACATTTTCTCTCCTTTTGTATATCCCTTATACTATAAAATCTTTATTTCATGATGGAAAACATTTATGTAGTGATAAAAGGGGCAAACTGAATTAAGTGGAATTCAAACAGACATACAAAAAAGAACAAGCAGAACAAATTTTCGCGTTAGTCTTAAAGTAATTGACACTTTTTTTTATAATTGTTGAAACGTTAAGTTCATTCTTTAAACTAATCTTTAACCAGTTATTTATAGGGATGTAAGATAATACCCATACACTGAAATTTCGCAATATTTTAATTCCTGATACTGTATCGATATTCTAAAGCCCTGTATCGATTTTTTTATTGAGATTTAAAATGTCAACTTTCCTGCCAGCCATTCATTTTCATGTTGTAGTTCAGCCTCTGACYRCTAGTTGGCAGCAGTGAGCCAGCCATTTGGCTACTCTACCTCTTGAGCACCAGAGAGTAAGGGTAGCATTAGCATTGTGAGTAAACATTAGCTTCATGCTCCGATAGCTGAATCTGAGCGGAAAAGACCGACACCCTCTGCCTTCTAARCTGAGGTAAGGTTACAAACTAGGGATGTCCCGATACCACTTTTTCACTTCCGATACGATACCGATATTACAACTTTGAGAAATGTCCGATACCGATATTGACCGATACCTATATTGACCCGTTACTATAACAGTGCAAGTCACACACTTTTACCTATTTTGTAGTGTAAAATCTTAGAAAAATCTTGATCAGATCAAACAGTGAAAAAGAGTAGGTATGAGAAAAACTGACCCATTTATTTTAAACCAATGGATCACATACATTTTACACTGAAGAACATTATACAATTTAATAAATAAAATAAATTACAATACCCTGAAAAAATAACATAATAAAAACAAAATGTACTTTTACAGTGTAAAATAATTCAAAATCACTCCAGTTATTTTTTTTACCATCTGTCAGCTTGGTGCTGCTTTATGGTGGAAAAAAACTGAAGGTGGGGACAAAACAAAACCCCACATTATTGTCTGTTCAAAGTTAAGAGTCCACAGCTCCAGTTTTACTGATTGTAACTAAAACAACATGATCATTGCACTTAATCTTCACTCAAACAAGTGTGTAAACAGATTAAACATCACTCTAATAACAAGAGCAAAAAATAAATAGTAAGAATTAGTTATTTAAATTGATAGCTACCTTTCTTAGTGCTAAATTTCCACTTTCTATAGTCTGAGCATCATGTGGAGATCAGCCTCTCTCTCCTGCAGGGAGCAGTTTTTATCTCTGCTCTCGTCATGTCGCTCGTATTCCAAAACAAAATCTGCGCTCTCCTTTCTTCTGTCCATCAACACAGAGCTAATCCACGGATGTCAAAACAAGCGTGCTGTCCTCGCTTCTGCCCGCTTAGAATCACCGACCGGACCGGAGCGGAGGTTCCGAAACAGCCCGGCTGTGTGCGGTCACTGGACCGAGGCTGAACCGAGCCGAACCGCAAAGCTGCTGCCAGGGTAGAGAGTAGTTGTCGCTCCGGTTTAAAACGTTCACGGTTCTGTGTTTCCCCTCGGAAAACTTGTGCATGACAACTTTACACTTAGCTGCAACTCTGTTTTTGATGAAAATAAAAAGTTCTGCTGCCGACATTCTTGCTAACTTGTTAGCGCTGCTGTTGTTATGATCACGTGAGTGCTACAAGCAGGATCCAAGCGCTGCTGGATAGAAACACTGGAGTGGAGTCAGTGAACTGCTGGAACGGACTGCTAATATCGGAGCGCTGATATCGGACATTTTTTATGCAGTCCGATAAAATCCGATACTCGTTTTTTGGCTGATATCGGACCGATATCCGATATTGATATCGGATCGGGACACCCCTATTACAAACAGTTACTTATTTGTCAGAATGTCTGTATTTTAAGCCAAATTAAGTGTCTTGTGCRCTCTTTTTTCCAACGTTATGGAACGCAGGCATGCATATATAGCGCATGTGTCTCTAGCACCTCAAGCGAGCTCGGCACCACCCCCGTGACATAACTCTGTCTGTTGCTCTCAATGTCCGGCTCATCGCTTCAAAGTCCATATACTTTAAGTTTACCCTGCTGTGTTTGCTTCAAAAACGGTTTAACTGTGTTGTTTAACTTCTCCATTTATTTACTGTTAATTTTCAGGACCTGCCCTGCTGTTCGACCCACAGTTATGCAAATCAGGTTCTGGATGCAGGTCAGCTGATCCCAGAAACTCTGTGTGCAGCAGCTTCTTATCATCTGTTTACTGAACTTTATGACAGCATAAAGGCTATTAAGTGTTGGGTGACCGTATTGTAAATTAATATTAAAAACTAAAACTTGCAAAAATATTTTCTAACTATTTATTGGCAAATTTACTCTAATAATTGAAAACATGGATGAAATAAGAAATATGAAATAAATAAAATAAAATACATACAAAGCAGAACACAGCTAAATGTATCAAAAGTATGTAAATGTATCAAAAGTATGTCTATGTAATATTAGAATTTTCTGAGATAATGAATTTTGTTTTTTTATTTTTTTTTCCAGTAAGAGGTTTTTATTTAATAGAATTTTTGGACAAAAAAAATCGCAGTATATCACCTTGCTTACAGTATCGCAATATATCGGGATATATCGTATCGTGACCCCTCTGTCATGATATGTATCGCATCGACAAATTCATGCCAATACACAGCCCTAGTTATTTATCGATTATGTTGACTTAAAAAGTGCAAAATTGAAGAGGTATTATTTAAACTATTGTTGAAATACACATTACCTCTCTGCTACCATAGTGTACATAATACAAATCTATCATTAACTGCTGTATTGTCAGTGTAATTCAGCATCAGTAGGTACCTTTTTAGAAGTCACCAACAGACACACTGGGGGAGCTCCTGCTCCTTTTTCCCCCTCCTTCTATCTCTTCATCTTTCTTTCTATTCCTCCTGTGACAGGAGTTGATGTGCCTCTAGATTTAGACATACTTTTTTGAGGAGGCAATTTTGCTAGCTATTTGACCTTTTCCATTTTCCCAAGGCCCAGCTCCAGATTAGATTGCTACTCCATGTTTTGTAACTATGTGATTCGGCCGCCTTTAAGATTTATTGTCACATTCCTTTACAGAAACCTTGTACGCAAGGTTATAAATGTCTCGTGTTTCATGTTAACACTGTGAGAGTGTTAGTGTCTACTCGATTACTTGACGGAATTCATAATAACTTCAGTGTTTTGCTGATAAAATGTGTTGATAATTGAATATACTTTGTTTTAGCCCATAAAATCTTTTAGTGGTCGCTATGATTGTTATTGTTCTTCCATTCTTTTCTTCAAGTGTTCCTCTCTTCTCTTACACCCTTCTGCTGTATGGAGCCGGTGTTTGTGTAAATGCAGCTTTTTTTTCCAAGTAATGAGAGCAAGGGCTCTTCATTAGCAAGAATGGAGGGAGTTGGGAAGAAGACAACACAAATGTTAGAGTGTGTGTGTGTGTGTGTGTGTGTGTGTGTGTGTGTGTGTGTGTGTGTGTGTG